GTGCCAGACATGGACAGGACTGTTCAGGGGCAGGACAGGCTGTGAGCAGGGGCTGTGTTTAATCCAGACACCATTATCTTAACCAGTTTTTTTTGCCCAGTTCCACTTCTAAGCAAAACCAACACATAAAGCCAAATGCTCTGCAGATTTCTGAGTGCTGATGCAGTACTCCTTCTCTCATCAAAATATTGCTCTTGGATTAAGAAACTCTTGCCAGACACCTGCCTCTGCCAATAGGATGAAGAAAATAAAACCCAGAGTTCAGCAGCAAACCAATCAGTGGATTCCAACCCTTAGGAGCAGAAACTTTATATATAACTGGAATTTTAAAGATCAGTTCATCTCAATAAGTAACATTTTTGGTAGCTTAGGTAAACACATCTAGTGCATAGCTGGATTCATGTTGCTGTCATCACACAGAGCTTTCAAAACATAACAAGCCCAGCGGATCAGATGAGCCTTTGAAATTTGAATAATAAGACAGGTTTTCAGATTTTATCAAACAAAATATGATAGATTGGGAAAACTATTAGATTATCTATCCCTGAAGGATTTGTCTGATAGTTTGTCAGTTCATTTTAAGTTCCTTAGCAAAAATATCAGCCCAAGGGTTCGTGGCACAACTGCAACACCGTGATGGAATCACTGCTCCCTCCTGCTCCATGGAACAGTCAGCCCTTCTGTCTCATCTTTTCACATCAAACCTGGATCCAAAGGGTGTGTGAGCAAGAGATCTTTTGATTGGAAAAGCTGATACTGCATCTTTATCAGAAACAAGCACCATGAATGCAAGCCTTCAAAAGCCAAAGCAACCAAGGACGGTAATGGTAAATCCTGGAGTGATGATTAGGGAGAGATTTGACACTGTGCCATTGATTGAGTGGTGATCCCAACCCACCACAGAAAAGCAGTGAAGTCAGTTGGAAACAGAGCAATAAAACTCACACTGTGACGGTAGAAGGGGTCAACTTTTGTAGGATATTTGTCAAACTGCAAAGGGATCAAAGCACAAACTAGTTACTTTATATTTCCTTGCTTTAATTCTGTTGGCAAAATAGAAGACAACTTCTCTATTATTTGGCAACCAACAGAGAGGAAAAAATACGCAGAAAATTAATTTCCAATGAAACTGCTTGGGATTTTTTCTTTCTTCAAAGTAAATCAAGATCTTTTTGGGACAGGACAAAGGAGGAGGCCCCAGAGCAAACACTCCAAGCAGGACTGGCCAGAGCCTCGTCCCTCAGTCCTGTGCTGGCACCTGAACCTCACACTGTGACAGAGGGACAGCCCTGCCTCTCCTGCCCAGACACCCCTGGGCAGCACAGGAGCCCTTCCTTCCCCACAACCTGGCAAATTCTCCACAATACTTTTGTAACAAAGAATAGAGTTGTGCTCTACTTATCCTCACATTTCTGCCTGGGGTACGCACCATGGGCGGTGCTGGCGTCGGCATGATGGCAGTGGGAGGGATGGCGTGTGGGAAGGGTGTGAAGGTGTGCTGGTGGGTGTGTTGGTGTGTGTGCTGGTGCTGGTGCTGGTGCTGGTGGAACTCTGTCCTCAGGTAGGGCGGCGGGCCCAGCGAGGCGCCGCGGTCGGCGCTCTGCGACGCCAGGAACCGCGTGTTCAGCTCCTGCCGCAGGAGGTCTTGCTCTGAAACACAGAAGCACAGAGGGACAGAGGTCATGGGCTTGGAAATGACCTTGGAGATCATCAGGTTCAACCTGGGACCCAACACCACCCTGGCACCCAGACCATGGCACTGAGTGCCATATCCAGTCTTTTCCTAAATATCTCCAGGGTCAGTGGCTCCACCACCTCCCTGGGCAGCCCATTCTGATTCCCCAACACTCCTTCTGTGGATAATTTGTTTCTAATGTCCAGCCTAAACTTCCCCTGGTGCAGCTGAAGGCTGGGTGCTCTCATCCTGTCGCTGTTCCCTGGGAGCAGAGCCTGACCCCCCTGGCTGCACCCTCCTGACAGGGAGTTGTAGAGAGTGATGAGGTCTGCCCTGAGCCTCCTCCTCTCCAGGATAAACAACCCCAGCTCCCTCAGCCCCTCCTCACAGGATTTGTGCTCCAGACCCCTCACCAGCTTTGCTGCCCTTCTCTGGACATGCTCCAGCCCCTCCATGTCCTTCCTAAATTGGGGGGACACAGCACTGCAGGTGTGGCCTCACCAGTGCTGAGTACAGGGGAAAACAAACAATAAAACAACTCCCTCAAGCTTTTTCAGACCTTGTGCCACTTCCTTTGCTGTCTGTGGATAATCATGACAGGGTAAGAGAGCCCCCTCAGGTCTTCCTTCAGATCCCAAAGGCCTGAGACATTACAAAGTTTCCATTTCCCCTCTCACCAAGCCTGTTTTCCCATTTCTCTGAGCATTTATGCACATAGACACAGTCCTGAATAGGTGAGGGTGGACGAGCAAGCTGGAGTGAGAAAAAAGTGGCTGCTGCTCACAGGAGCATCCGGGTGCATGGACACAAATTGACACTACACAAATGCTCCATTTTCTTCCCCTCAGTAACCTGATCAGGCCCTGGCACAGGGTGCCCAGAGCAGCTGGGGCTGCCCCTGGATCCCTGGCAGTGCCCAAGGCCAGGCTGGACAGGGCTTGGAGCAGCCTGGGACAGTGGGAGGTGTCCCTGCCATGGCAGGCGTGGCACTGGATGGGCTTTAAGGTCCCCCCAACCCAAACTATCTGAACACACCTGAGGCCAGAACTGCTGTGAGCTCAGCCAGCACAGACCCTCCCAGCAGCCAGGGAAACTGCTGGGCACAGACCACAACTGCATGAAGACCTTTGCTGAGGGGGGCATAGATTCCATGTGGGCACCTCCTGAACTCAGCTGTGATTTCACTGTGGGTTGAACAAAACCAGGGAGAACCACAGCCTTCCCAAAGCAGTCCCTCCTGGGGCAGAGGGAAAGTCCCTGGCTGTGCCTAGGTGTCTGCTTGGCTTTGCCATCACTGTGTTCAGCAGTCAGTACAGCCTCTCCCCACCACAAGACCCAAACCCCAGTTATTCTGACCAAAGCCAGAGCTGAGCGTCCCTCACGGCTCTCACCTGAGTAAGTGCTCCCAGCTGGGTGTCCTGGAACCTGCAGCGTCCCTGAGGTCAGCGGGGGTGGCGGGGGCAGAGCCGTGGGAGGGGCAAACATATTGGGGTGGTGTGGGTGTGCGGGGGGCTGCAGGGCGGGCGGGAAGCTGTGCAGGGGGCTGGGGCTGGCCAGGGACAGCGGGAACGGCGACGCCGACGGGTGGTGCGAGATGTGCGGGGGAGGCGCCTGGCTCTTGGCGGGGGTGCTGCTCCTGCTGCTGCTGTAAGGAGAGGAGGAGCTGTCAGGGCACAGAACAGCCCAGCACACACACACACACACACACACACCACACAACCTCAGCAGCCCCTCATGTCAAACACAGTGTTAAAAATGCCAGCTACCATTTCCAGTCCTACCCCTTCTCCAACACCTGCTCTGGTAGCTTTTACTTCCTGTGGTCCCCACACACCTGAGCCGTGCTCTCTTTGCTGCAAGAGGTTGGTATTGTCCCACAACAGCACAAAGGAGTAATCAGCCCTGTGCATTCATGACTTAATTATCAGGTCCTTTCTACATGACTGCTCCTGGTTCATGTTTTCAGGCAAATGAAGCTCAAAATCACTGCATTAATAAAAAATTAATTTTTTTTAAAGCGAATTACTAAGACGAAAGACTACAGAATATGCGAAATGAAGTTGAGAAGGCAACAACAGATTTGTGCTTATTGTACAGGTAATGTCCCTCTCCACCTCACAATAAAATGAGATGAGTCAACAAAAAAAGTATTTGCGATTACACTGGCTGCAATTTTTCAGGTTTCATTTCCTACTAATGAGTATTTAAAATACATTCATGGAAGGCTTAATTCTCCTTGTCTTTATTTCAAGTAACAACACGCTTCTATTGCAGTAACTTTTAAAGACAAGTAATACCAGCTTGGTTAAAAATAAATCCAGGTCTTAAACACCTCCCAGTCTTTAGTCAAAGCATGAAGCAACCACAGCGCTACTTCCCCAGGTCTTGAAGGTCACACCTGCCTGCTGGGAGCTCGATTTGGAGAACGGCAACCCAGCTTAGAGTAGGGGAAACCTGAGATCCCTGACTCTGAGGGACATCACGGGTTCCTGTGCACATGGTGTTTAATCTCACTGCTCATTTCTGTTATCCACAGATAAAAGGTGAGGCTGATTCTCACCGTGGACAGGTGAGAGAAAAACACTGAAGCCTACAAGGTGTCAGGAGTGCAGGAAAACACGGAGGTGGAAGTGCCTGGTGTGTGACTGCCCTGGGCTCCCTGCCCTGAAGCATGGCAGCACTTGGAGAAAACAGATATTTACAGGGATGGAAGGGCAAAACTGTCAGCCTTCAGTGAGCAGCCCAGGTCAGGAACTGGGCTTTTCTTCCCCTGATCTACATACACTGTGTAGAATTCCCTCCAAAAACCCATGTACAGCAGAGAAAAAAATCCAAAGCAAATGAACTTAAAATACCAGTTTATGGGATCACCAGGTCACAGAGAGTGATCCTGGCTCATTTCAGGGCATGAATTGAGGTTAAACGCACTGAGTGCCCTTTACTTCCCAGGGATGCGATGGGATGGGCTGTGCTGTCCCTTCTTTATCCAATTCCCCTTCAGGTTCAGCCCAGCATCCCAGACCCCTCTCTGTACACCTACCTTAAGCTGTTGAGGCTCAAGCTGCTGCTGTTGTAGGCAGAGAGCGGCTGCGAGAGGCTCTGGGGATGGGGCTGCACGGCGGGCAGGGCCGAGTGCGCCGGGGGCAGCGGCGACTGCGGCCGCGGCGGGTGCGGGCCGGCCGGGGGCGGGCCGGAGGGCTGGCCGGAGGGCTGGCCCGAGTGCTGGCCGCAGGGCTGGCCGGCAGGAGGGCGGCCGGGCTCTTCGGGGGCCGGGGGCACCGGCACGGCCGGGGCGGGCGCTGGGGCCGGAGCCTCGGGGCGTGAGGCGAGCGCGGGGCTGGGGCAGCGGCCCTCGGGAGGTGGCTCCAGCGGCGGCGGCGTCACCTGAGGACGGGGGTCTTTAGGCACCACAGGCTCAAGTATTGGGTCTTTGCTGCTGTCCTGGCTCTTCTCTTGGCTCCTTTCTAGTCCTGATATTTTGGGGACAGCTGGGCCCCTAGCACCAGAGTCGTCATTGTCAGCAAGTGCACCAACTCCCACCTCTTTATCTGCAACAAGAACAGAGAGAGAAAATGGTTAAACGTGACACAGACAGGCCAACCCAAAGCCACTGCTGGGCCACTCACTCCGAGTGGGTAGCTCCATTTTGTTTCCATCAAGAACCATCCAGGTGAACATGAAACTGAATCAAATCCACCAGTCCCAGTAACTCTCTTCAAATAAAACACATGGCAGAGAAGACAGGCCCTGTTTAGCGCTGCTGTTCTCCATTGTTGTTTCTCATCATAATCCCTCACTGAGGAAACAAGCTGAGGGAACTGACCCTCTGAGGGAGCCACCGCCACAGGAGCTCCGGGCTTCTCACTGAATGGTTAAAGTTGGAAAAGATCCACCAAGTTCAATCCCTCACCACGTTCACCACTAAATCATGTCCTCAAGTACCACATCCACATGTTTTGTTTTTTGAACACTTCCATGGTTGTTGACTGAACTGCTGCCCTGGGCAGCTGTGCCAGTGCTGAGCCCCCTTTCCATGGGGAAATTCCTGCTGATGTCCCCCCTGCCCCTGCCCCTCCCTGGCCCAGCCTGAGGCCGTTCCCTCTGCTCCTGTCCCTGTTCCCTGGAGCACAGCCCGACCCCCCTGGCTGTGCCCTCCTGTCAGGAGCTGTGCAGAGCCACAAGGGCCCCCTGAGCCTCCTTTGCTCCAGGCTGAGCCCCTGCCCAGCTCCCTCAGCTGCTCCTGGGGCTCCAGACCCTTCCCCATGACACAAGATCTGAACTTTAGAACACACACTAGCAGCAGCCCAGGCTTCTTTAGTTTGGCTGATCATGGAGTGACTTACTTCTATTTCCCAACTCTTTAATAATAATGAATATAATTATAATTTTAACATCTGTACATTCGAGTTTTGCTGACTGGGGTTCCACAGCAATTTCCCATTGGAACTGCTCCCCAAACCTTCTGCCAGTGTGGATCTGATCCATGGCACCCCTTGGAACAAACCCAGGGGAATGTTGCTGACCAAGACTGGGAAAGGTGCTGCAGGTGGGGGATCAGGAACCCATTTAGGGCCATATTGCACCACAGCTTAGAACAGCTGACTTAAACCTTCAGCAACTACAGAAACAGAGCCCAAAGGAAACATGCAAGGTTTGAAGGGGCTTGGGACAAGCTTAGAATTTAAAAAGTGTCCAGTGTTCTAAATAGCCCTAAGAAAAGACAACTTTACTCCTCCTTGTGCCAGTTTTAAGGGATAAAATGACTAAATGCATAATGAAAGAATATCCATTCAGAGAAAATTGCTGACAGCTCCTTTGTGCAAACCCTGAAGTAAAGGAGTGAAATTCAAAGGATGGGGAGTGAACTCTGCCAGCCCATGGCCTGGGCACATGTTGCCAACCATCACATCCCTGGAGGCAGCCTGGCAGCCATGTGTCACAAACATGGCATCAGCTGAGTTTAATTTCATTAACAGATCAAAAATAAACCAGGACCTGCTCCCTAAGTGTTTTACAGGCCCAGTGCAAGGGTGAAAAGTCTGGTAAAGCAGAGGATTTTCACAGGTTGTAGACAGGAGGTGGCGGAAAAGGGGACAAAGGGAGGCAAAAGGGAGGTAAAGAGGAGAAAAAGGAAGCAAGAAAGAGGGCTTATTTTACGAGGACCTTCTTTATTCACTCCTGGAATACCTGTAACAGGCAGAGAGGCTCCTCCATCAACTTGGATGGGATGATTATGAGGGGAAGAGTGGGACTCCAGAGTGATAAAAACAATTACTCTGCCTTATGCCCAAGGTCTATGTCACTGCAATAAACTGCAGGTTCTAGGTAAAGGAAACTTTGCTTGCATTAACTCTTTGGATCAATCCTCTTTGATCAAACATTATTACAAGTTAGAGTGTGATCCACACATTTGTCAAGGCAGGTCCCCTAGGAGGAGAGAAATGAGCAACAGTTTTGTTCAGGAATAGGTGGATCTATGTTCCCAGTCCTTATGGCTGTAGGAGTTACAAGTTTTTGGGTTCATTGGGGTTTTTTACACAATGGCTTTGAGGACTCAGGCTTGTCACCAGTAATGCCCTACTGCATGGCTCTAGCAGGTGGTCTGGAAATCCTGCAGAGGTGATACTTCCAAACCTAGAGGGAACACCTTGCTCTTAGTGCATTCATTAAATCCTTTCCTTTAGCCTCTCTCATGTGTCACATTTATTCAGCACAGCTCAGTGCTGGGACCTGCTCCTCCTCCCAAGCAGAAAAGGGCTGGGGATGCCCCTGTCTCCTGGGTGTTCCCTGCTGCTGCTGCTCACACCCCCAGTGCACAGCCCTGAGTGCTATCCCTGGGAGATGCTGCCTGCAGTAATATAAATGTTATTCCCAGCAGCTGTGCCCGTGGGTTCTGCCTCCCCTGTGTCACACCAGTGCACCCACACTGTGGCCCAGCCCAGCTGTGCAGGAGTCCCAGCACACACAGCCCTGCCTGCTGATAACCATGAGGGATAAATCAGAACCAATTCTCCAGCCCACTGCATCTATTTGGGGAGTTGAAATCCCCCCTCAGTGATAAACGCCACCAATCACAGGTTTCATGAGGAGGGCTCCAGTCCTCATCAACAGCACTTCAAGGTCACACAGACAAGATTGCTCTTTTCCTACCCTGACTGGCTCAGTGCAAAAACTCTGGGGAAAAAAACCCTTAATGTCACTATGACACTGAAAACCCAACTTTCTGAGGCTGTTTATCATCAGAGGAATTCACCTCCACCCAACAGCTAAGCAAGCACCAAGCTAACTTTATTTGCTGGATGTCTCTATACTCTGCTTTGGATAAACTGGAATTACTGCACTGGGATTCAGACTCTGATGTAACTTCCATGCTGACACAGGCTCTCCTTTTTCCACTGGGTTGATACTGCATCCACCAACAGCCAGTCTTCCACTACAAAAGGAATAAAGCCAGAATTTGATGCTGAGGACTGAGGAACATTGGCATTTCCCAGACAGGAAATGCAGCTTTCACTATCTTCCATCCCTGTGCCCTTTGATGTACCTTAAATCTCAAATTCCTCTCTTTTTCACTCAAACACACAGAACTCCAGTCTCCTCCACATGACCCTACTCTGTATGTGACTATCATCACACCAGGGAGCAGCCAAGGCCACCCTAGGGACACCTGTAGGTAACCCAGGTGACCCGGAGAGACTCTGCACCTGGGAGGGCCAGCAAACACTTCCCTCTGGAGACATGGATTTGTGTAATAAATACAGGCAATATGCAGCTTTCCATCACTGTCTCTCTTCCTAATGTGCAAACCACTAAAATCTGACCCAAACTCTGTGTTCTGGCTCCTGTGTCCCACCCGTGTGGTGCCAAAGAGGCCAAGGTTGGCCAGGGGTGGCCATTGGGAACATCACAGCCACAGGGACAGCCCAGCTGCTCTCCACTGACAAAAAGGCCCTGTTGGAATTGCCAGATGCGACATTCCCAGAGAATCAATGCAGAACCCCCTCATTGTGCTGGGCCAAGGTGTTTGCAGATGGGCCCAGGAGCACCAAAGAGCACAGGAGGTGCCAAGAGCCAGCACAGGGTGTGCCATGGCCACCCCCAGCCCGGCCAGTCCCGAGTGCTCTGGGCATCCCTGGCCTGGGGAATGAAATCCCCTCAGGGACACCCCTGCAGGACCGTGTCAAACTCACAGTGGCCAAACTTTTATCCCAAACATAAAATCATCCAACTTTTCTGTGTCCAGGTGTGAGACAGCCAGGTCTGGATGCCATCCAGAAAGGAGGCTGTGCCATACTCTGTCACTGCTCCTCCTGCCTGCATCCAGATTCAGCCTCCACACCTGGCCTCAGGCAACTTCAGAGATCAACTCAGAACCGGCACTAAATTTTCCACTTTCCTGAGAGGAAAGTTTAGGATTAGGTTCAATGTCCTTACTGCACAAGTGGGAAAATTCTAGGAGTTTTCAGTGTTCTGCAGCATTATATTTGGAACTGAGCATTCAGCCTACCAAATAAATATTCTATTCCATCATTTAATTTTAAAATAGTATTAATTTTCTTTCACTGCTTTGGTAAGTTGAACTCTGGACAAAACTGTATCTGCCTAACTCAAATTTTCTCCAGACTTCTTAATGCAAGTTAAAAACCCAGATCTTTCAAACCCATTTTCTCCAGCTTTACCATGGACAAGTGGGGAGTTGGTACAAACCCCCAGGACATCTCTGGAGTCCTGGAATGCATCTGCCCCACAGCCCACCAGCTCTTTACAAGCACTTTACAAGGCTTGAAATAATTAATTAGATTGCAGCCCTGATTGTCCATTTCATATTGATGAGACGTTGGTCAGTGCAGTATCTGCATGGGGAAGGCAGGTGCCAGGAGCTGTTCCTGCCAGAGGGAGGAGGCTGTGGCTGCAGCAGCCAACACACATCAAACAGGCCCCAGAGCAGCTCAGCTGCTGTACTGGATACACATAATTTGCTAAAAACAATTTCTCATTTTTAGCACACAGTCATCTTTCATCCTAATTTCCAAGGACACTAACAAAGCATTTGATTATGCAAATGAAGAACATGCCTTCGAAAGCACAGCTCCTCGCAGCTCTGTCATCTGCTGATAGCAATTACTCCACAGTGAGCAGGTATTTAGCACAAGTGAACAGCAAGGCTGGTGACACACTTTGTACTTAATTATAAAACAGAGAAGAAAATCATTCAGGACAAAAGATTTTGCTACCTCCTGTTAAAAATGTTTATCCTCTGCACTGAAAGGGATTTAATTGTCAACAGTGAAGTTGCAGATCAATGAAAAGAAGCACTTAGTGGGATTGCACAAGATGCTGACAATTCTTCAGTCATTGAGCCGCTTCTGGCCTTGATTTGAGAGTGCAGAGTTCTCCAATGCTGCACATTAAACCATTTATTTCATCCAGCTGTTAAAGAGAACACTCTCCATAAATGTAACTCCTATAGCTGTACACTGGGAGCATATGACAGCACTTATTTCATTTTTTTAAAGCACCTCTTGATTTAGTACAAAGGAATGGGATA